GAGGGTTTACAGGAACAGTCAGAAGGTGACAGTTCGCTCTTTTAAAATCACTGTTTTTCAAACAAGGATGATACGGCTGTTGATGTAAGCACTTGCCAGTCTTCGACAAATGAAGCAGGAAGGTGCCGAAGTGATGAGAGTGTGGAATGAAGAGGAGGACGGTGAAAAGGGGAGAGGAACAAAAGCTGAAGGGTCAGAAGGAGGTACTGTGTTCATCAATGATGGATTAGGACGAGCGGCGGGTATTTATCCAGCAGCTCCTACAGTTACGAGCAACCAAAAAGAGTAAGATACAATGGATCATTTGAAGTGACAGTTAGGGGAGCGCATCCGTACACTACTGAGCAAATGCGGCATGCAAGCTAGAGTGGGGCAGTTGGGACACCAAAAATACATACAACTGAATTTTTAATAAGGAAAGGTCACCATCTGCAACGATAAATAAGAGTATGTTTCATGAATGCATTCCTCGACAGGCCGACGATTAGAGTCGCTCTTGTTGCCCAAACGAGTCGTTTTTATGGACCAGTCACAACGACCATCCTTCACGTCTGAATACTACAAACGCAAAGATTACGTTGAACGCTGCACCTCCCTGCCTACCCATTATTTCTTCTTGGACTACCAAAAAACAGTGTGGCCGTAGCGCCTATCATTTGGTTTCGCATCATGTAGATACCGAGTTTGTTAATGCAACTGTCCGCTACATTTTAGTGGAGATCATCAAGCTACTAATATTTCGTAGTATTAAAAATTTTCGGTGTGAAATGCACCTTTCAATTAAGCGTCAAACGTGCAAATAAGCAGTTGGGCGCCACAAATTCGGGAGTAGTTTTCGGTGGGACCTGCGCCTGCAGAATTATTTCGCTTTAACGAATCGTGAATGTTGCATGCAGTTTAAAAAGCAGTGTGTATTTAACTATTGAAAACTTACGATAATCGCCCAACGCATGGGCTGCCCGGCGAAAATGCGTTTTTTGCATAGCTTCCCGCAGATTTTTGTTGCTAACGGCACTGGTTTTTCTGGCAGATGCTTCCAGCTAAAAGAATTTCAGACTGGCCGCCAGGACTATCAGGAAACATCCCTTCAAAATCCCAGTCTTCTAGCTTCTCACTTTCCTGAGTTAGCAACTTACCGGAAGAAACTTTCAAGGGCCCGTACGCAGGTACCACGCTTACCCGGGAAATGAGTTTGAGTGCATTAATAAATAGTTGGACAGGGACATTACCCAAAGATTTCAGCTTTCTAGCTTCTCAGATCCCCAAGTTATGAACTCACCGAAAAAAATTTTGGCAGGCCCGCACGCGGGTACCACGCGGGTTTTGGCGCCCATTTTGGGGATTGAGGCCAACACGTGCATGTAGATTAAGTTCCCGAAATTTCAGCCGCGCAGCTTTTATAGGTCTTGAGATCAAAGTGCGTGACAGACGCACACACAAACGCACAGACACACAGACAACCTCTCGTCAGTATGCGTTTTCTGCATTGCATAGCTGCAAAAAACGCATAAAAAGTAGTAATTTGAAAGTGTCGTAGTTTGGAGACCTTATTTTTGATATTTCAGTTTGGCCGAAGAAAATTCCAAATTTCAGTGCGAAATGTCTCATGTGAATTTTGAGCGTTTACAGGATTGCCGTCCTCTTGCGTTTTCGAATGCAACAGCGGTCGGTAGCGCTGTATATTTCTGCGGCAAGATAATACTAGTGCGCACTTGCATTGCTACACGCTGGAGCTCTTCACAGAGATTTTTAATGCATCTAACTTCAGAGAAGCAAGAAAAAAGTTGATTCTAGACTTTCTTCGCCCCGGAATTAATTGGAAGAACAGACATAGGAAATTGATTTTTGGCCGTTCATTTTCTTTAGTGTGGTAAACCAAATCCCAAAGTTTAAACCTCCTCAGTTCTCAAATTATACAGTCTGCTAAAATTTTAACTGAGTTCACAATTCTAAAGACAACAAACTCTGAAGGTTGATTTCTGACTGATCAACCTCTTACATACATGGTATTAAGTTTGGAACTTGAAGGTCGTGAATTTTCTTATCTTTTCAGTTAAAGAACTGACGGGAGTTTTTTTTTTTTTTTTTCATTTATGGTCAGAAATCAGATCAGGGTCCACGTATGAACCAAACGGCTTTGCACGTTGCACTGTGTTCTTGAAATTCTAAAGCTTTGCGGCCTTTGTACTGTATTGTGCGAACATACACACAAGTGTGAATTCGCTGTAATTTTTTTTTGTGCATGAATCAGGTGTGCATAAATACATACAGAGTGGATGATGTGTGTCCCGTAAAAATGCAGTGGCAGCAGTACTCTTGGAAGTGTTGTCTTTACGTGCGGCGTATTACATATTTTTGTCAAATGATTTGCTGTAGTTGTGGTAGTCATTCCCGGAAGGTGTTATTTCACTGAGAGTATAGGGAAAGCTTGCGTTATTACTGCATGTTCAGGCCTTGAACACCATACACAACAAAGTATTTTTACAGACTTCCTTCAGTCATCAAACTTTCATTTCACCACTGAATAAGACTTGCACTAAGAGTATGAGAAAAAAGGAAGAGCGGTTGTTAGAAGGCAACGAAAAGTCTAAATAACTTTTAGAAAGTAGATTTGGAGATTATTTTTCAGTTACTCTTTGTGGAAGAAGTACGTGAATGCAGCTCATCCCGAATTTGTAGAGTTTTTAGTTGGAGAGGCCGAAAAGAACGGATCACATTTTTGGGTGTTTTCGTAACTTAGCACATTTTTAGGTGTTCGCCAAAGCAGAGTCAGCAACCTGAAATATTTCACTTTTTTTTTGCTCTTTACATCGGATGAGCAGAAGAATCAGCTTTTTTTCTAGTCGGTCAATTAATCATTTGGAAACTGCGCTGCTCACGTTGGTACTTTGAGCAGTTGCATTCATCGTTGCAAGCCCTCCTCGATGCGTCTGCTGCAGTAGCACCGGAGAGCGGCAGGCGGAACCGGAGCGGTTCATATGCGCCTCATAACTGAATGATACAGCGCTGAGCAGCACCGTATGATTGTGAGCAGCGTTGCGAGCCAATAGACGCAGTTACCTTTAGCAGGAGCTACCGTATCCAGGAGCACACCTGTGTGTTATGACATCGCCACCCTTATGTGTGGCACATGCTTTACTGCCGAGACCAGTCGTGATTGGGGTAAGAATGTGCTCG